AGCAGGCAAGACAGAAGAGATTTTGTCTTCATTTATAGTTTAACATTTTTTACCCCTTACATTTCAGTAACTACCTAAGTCAGTCAATGACTATATTCCCCTTATATCCAACACATTTCAACAAACTAAAAATAGCCTCTGAGAGTTCCAAAACAATCTTCTTGGGTTGATGTTATTGAGTGACAATACCAACATTGTCACTCCATCCTAACAAACATGAACTTCTTTGAAGGTTTTTACCAACATCTACTCTTTGCAGAAAAGGCTTGGCCAGCTGTAATCAGCAATACATTGTTGTTATTACTCCTTGGTTTTTAAAAATGGCATGCCCCAGTACCAAATGGAGAAGGACGAACACACAGACAGCCGGAAAGGCATACTAAGGACCAATCACAGCTGCTTTTTGTCTGCGCACTTCCACTTGAGGTCTGCGTGGGTTTACGACCGTCCGTCGTGTAGTGAGGACTTTTTTTAGGTGAGGCTATGCATCAGAAGTATAAACTGGCCTTTAAATTGAAGCCTTTAACTATTAGAACAACATTCTCACTCTTAAATGCCATGTTTATTTTCACAGTCATTAAAAGGAGGTACACTTGATAAAGATCAAATCATCATGAAAATATTTTGTTTTGTTTTGTTTTGTAACATGTCCAGTGTAGCATTCAGAATTTTTTGCTTACTGCTAAGTCCAACAGATTTACTTTCCTAAGTGAAATGCAAAGGACTCATAAATTGGAACAAAAAGGAGAAAGAAAAAAAACAAGTAAGAGAGGTGAAGCAATAATTTCAAGTAGAGATAAGGTGATAAGAATAGAGGAAACACATGCATTTTCCGCACAGACTATACTTCCAGTTTCAAGTACCCATAACCCAAAAGGACGACCAACTCTCAGATGTGGAACGCCATCACCTGGATGGAAAAGAATAGACTGCCCTAGCCCCCAGCTGAGACCACGGCTGAACACCGGCCTATCAGAGCAAACCTGTGCAACACCAATCCTGCCTACACACTACAGTTCAACAAAGCAAAGGCCCCAGAGTCCTGCAACAATGCCTGGCAAACAATCCCACACATAGACTGGATAAACCCACATGCTAGGCAGTCCCCAGAAGGCATCAAGCACCTGGGGCAAAGCATGACATGTTTTGACAAATCTGAGACATATATTTGTAATTATTTCTAATCATTATTGATTTTCCCACTGAGAGACTCTTTCTTGGATGCTATTTTGTCCACTTTCTGTCTTATTTTTGAATCATGGATACTAATTCAGGCAAGTGAGATCTGTATTTCTTTCTGCCCAGGCCAGACAAAGCAGAAACATTACAGGTGTATCCAACAAGCTTTTTGGTCAGATAGGGGGTTCTGTTCAGAGGAAGCAGGCACGAAACCAACATTTTTTTAATACCGGCCATCAGAGTATGAAAGTTTGAAGACGAAGTGCAGCTTTGTTTAGGGATAATGATTACAACCCGGTGTGTTTTTTAACATGAATGCGTGACACAAACATTACCGGTTTAATGATCTTTTTCAGAAGCCGTTCATTTTTTTGACAACAAAACATTTAGCTCCTCTTTAGTTGGTTCACAGTAATGCCTCTTTACTTGTGTATATTGTTTACACCTTGCTAATCTTAATTTTTCTTTTTTTACTCACTGATATGGCTTACCCTCAAACGTTTTATGTGTTGATACCTTATTTGACATCATGTGTAGCTGTCAGGATTCCTGTGTGTGGGTTAGTGCGAGTTGTGCATCTCTACTAAAGAAGATCTTTGTGGAGAACTTCGGTAGCCTACACAGGTGAAAGTAATCCTTATAATAGTAGTGCTGGGCTTAAAAGAGCACCAGAGCCTTCATTCAGTGCTGGTTTCTTGTGTGTTGAAGATCTTAGATGCTTCCTAGTCTCTTGCTTCCTTCGAGTATTTTTCTTTAACGTTTATTGGTTTTGTTTGGTTTTCAGTATTTTTGTATTTTGTATTTTTGCCTCTGTTTCCCTTGGACTTACATTAAACCATCCAAACTCATCCATGCCTACTCCTCTCTGCATTTGGGTCTTCAAAACCTCCACCCAACCTGACAGTAGCCTCGTTTTGGCCATTATTGCACATGGGAATAATATGAATAGGCCTAACCCTCCTGAGAAATAACACCCCTGTTCACTGTTATCTCTATTCATGAATAATATTCCCTTTGTTTTCATTTTGCAGAAATCTTTAGAAAAGGCTTTGTAACAATCTGTAAATATATAGATTGTAATTTTGCTCTCTTAGATCTTATAGCTTATTGCATGTTTTCATACAGGCTCAGGGTTATTCCTTGGTTACAAAAGTGGGTGCATGTTGGGGAAGGAGTTTTGGATTGTTTTTCTTTAACCGTATAAATAAGATCCATATTTTACAAATGCATTTTGTTTTACTTTTTGTCTGACCAAAATTTGTTTGATGAGTGAAAGCAAAAGATATCTTTTGCAAATCTGTTTTTACAGCACAATGTATCTTCTGCAGTATGTGCATAATGCTCTGCACTGCAGTATATTTTAAAGGTTCTTACTGTTTTCCTCTAAAGGAGTCCAAAGACACTGACATGAAGAGATGATAATGCCTTCCCTCCGAGCCTGTTCAATTTAACATGCACCAAGCGTATTCCTTCAATGCCTGGAAGGGTGATTGATAGACAATTACTACTTAGTCACAAGATGTTTTGTTTAGGCCACAGCAAGGCAGGAAGGTGTGTGATTGGACAGAGGAACATTATATGGTTAACTGTAATAGACTACTACCTGCTCTTTGTTTCTTTGCCCATTACAGTCATCACAATGTACGCTGTCTGAAGTAGCTGCTGCTACAACAGCAAATCTTGGATGCCTGTCTTTGCACCAACTTTGTGGCTCATGGGCCATTACATTTATAGTACATTGGTGTAAACGCAGCCCTTCATCATGTGGCATCAGCACACTCAGATGTAGGTGCATTACAGAACATTAATAGGCCTTTCAAAAAGACAGCTATAAGTCTCACTTACTCTGCCTACTGTTCCTCCTCACCAGTCTGTCATGATTGTCACTGTGGGTTCTGACATCTTTCTTTTATTTATCTTCCTACAGTTGTTTTCTTTGTATTTGGTGCATTTTCAATTTCAGGCATATAAAATTCTGAGCAGAGATTTATCAGTTGATAGTGGATATAGAATGCACTTTAACTGAAAGAAATAAACAACCACTGATGGTTATCTAGTGTCCAATCTAGGAAGCCTACAAAATATTTGTAGCCCTTACTGAAAATCTTTACTAAGCCCCATGAGGGACATCAGGAAAAATAATAAAATGACTTTAGGTGGCTTTCATGTACATTTGTGACAGTTACAGTACCTGTTGTCTTGCAAAACATGTACAACAGAAAGGGTTACTTTCATAGGATTCACAGAAATTCAGGGAGGGGCCCTGATGTACCTTTGTGAGATTTGATTCCCAAATACAAGAAGTCATGAAAAATTCCCATTGTCAGTCCATCCTTCATTTGACTTTTGTTTGATTTTGCGAGGAAGTACTCCAATCTTACAAGTTATGTTGGCAAAATCCCACCATTTATGTTATGCTTAGTTTAAGGATTAAATTGTTTTTTTTTTTTAGAACCCCGAGCATTTAACATAGAACATTGAATAGTTTCTCATTGGAGCCATTTAAAGCTTGGAAAGCTGTTTTTTAGCTTCCATTTATGTGGTTTTAAGTGTCTTTCAAGAGTTCATTGTTGGATTTTTTTTAAGGTAAATTGTTCATACTCCAAACAATTTCATTCAGGACGATTCTAAAGGCCCTTGACTGAGGGGGAACCCAAAAGAAGAAGAAAAGATTTGTCCCACTATATTTTTCAAATAAATTTGGGGGGAGTTGAGGACCCAATATCAATGTCTTTCATGGGGCCCCAAATTCCTGGTGGCTCCCCTGTTCCAAACTAATGTCAGCTGTAGGCAAGCAAATAGATGAGTAAAACATGTGATTAGACTGAAATTTTTGAATGATCAATAACCGAAATACCAAAAAGTTCAGATTAATGTTAGAATTTCTAATTCTGTGTGGCTCTTTTACAGCAGTATTTTGTTTCTTAGTTTGGACTGAATTGATATACCAGAAGAAAGAGCTTAATGTACTTGATGTGAAATAAACACAGTGCTCAAAAATGAGCAATTTTATGTGTAATTTTTTGCCTCAAGCTCTTCTCCCTGTACTTTTTTTTTATACTTCAGTCTCCTTTTTAAATTCCCTGCTAATTTATTGTAGTATTGAGACTAGATGTTTTTTTACCTGCATCAAGTGGGTGTAAGTAAGTCTGCTTTTTCTTTTAAGCAGTTTTTTTCACTCATGATCTAGATTTTTCATCTACTTACCGCAGTTACTGAAGGGTTTATAGGCACAGCTGTTGTGTGGCAGATTTATTTCTACTGCACTCAGGCTCACTATACTACTCTCATAACACAAGCCCTCTTGCAAAAGACATTTAAAAAATATAACCTAATAGTAGTCACAAAGTCACACTCATTCGGTTAATAGTTATTTGTCTTAACCCATTAAAATCTGAATATTGAATCGGAGCAAATTGTGGTTAAAAAGTAAGTTAAATTATATCTAATTCATTTTTTCTTCATGAATTTTTAAGTTTTTGGAGTCTTGGCAGTATATCGTAATAAACTTAATATCAGCGGCAAAGCAGAGCTACCCAATGCTCTTCATGTGCAGTCCTTGAGACTCACAGACCTGCAACTTTTAGATCAATCTCTTCTTCAGCACATGAATTAAAGGACCCGCCACAAATTTTTGCAGAGGCTTGCCAATGAGTAAATCATTAGATTTAGGTGCAGCAATGCATCAAAAAGTTAGAGCACAGTAGACCCTGAGTATTGAGTTGGACACCTCTGAATTACGTTGACTTAATCATTCCTGTTTCCTGTCTTTGCACAGTTTTTATCTTTTAATATTTGTTTGCATTTGTTTTTCAGCTGGGATGTCTGTTAAAAGTACAAAAGGAGGTCCAGACAGCCGACCCTCCTCTGCTGCAAGGTTAGTAAAGGAAATGCATGGCATTCATTAAAATAAAAAGATGCAATAAAGGTAGTCGTTATCTGTGAATATTAACTGCTCTGTCTGAGCAAAAAAATAAAAAGAATTCTATTATCTTATATAATCTGGTGGAAATAAAGCAAAAACAGACAAAAATGTCAGCAAGATTGTTATAGATCTGCAAGTCTGGGTTTGTTAAACCCTAGAAAACTTCAGTATTCCTTTCAAATTGAAGCTGCCAGTCTAAGCTGTTTATTTTTTTTACTGTTCTTCAAGCACTGTATTGTTTATAAATATTTATTTATATTTGAATAAGAAGAAATGAAAACATATTAATCCAAATAAAATACAAGTCATCTAGCGCACTTTAAATTGATCAAGGCTTCTCTTTCTCCCAGCATTTCTCCACGAGGAGGGAGGGCTGCAGCAGCTGGAAAATCGCCCGCTATGGGGAAATTCAAAAACAAGGCCCTTCAGCTTAGCCTCTCCAAGAAATTCTGGTTATTATCATCCTCTGTTTCTAATCAACATTGATTAAGACAAAGGGAGTGTGTTATGTTAGGCTGTGCACTCAATTAGCACCATCAAATGATAAACAAGCTGACAAACAAGCCTCCAGAGTTGCCCCTCTCAGAAAAGCTTTCCTGCTATGTAAATATGTAGACCAGTGGTTACAAAAGATGGTTAAAAAGTTAAGGATAAGTTTACTGGCTTACTGGGAGGAAAAACTACAAGCTTGGTTTTGGTGACAACTGTTACAGCTATAAACAAATAGCATGTAAATACACACTTCACAGCTCCAAGTCCTCCACGTCCAAGGAGAAGGTGCCTGAGGAAGAGGAGGGCAAGAGGAAGAGTAAAAGGAGCCTCAGCAACAGCTCTATGGTGGCAGCTGCCTATATCTCCTACCTAAATAAACTTTTTGGACAGGTCAGTTCTGCGGCACAATGCCGATCTGTTTTACTCTTAGATAAAGAATTTGTTGAAAAAGTAGAGCACATTGTCATCTTTGACTTTTCTCCATTTCACCACATTCCAACCAGAAAAATTTAATTAATTTTTATGTGATGAACGACGGAGGTAAGTAACAGTTACTTGAGTACCGTTTTGAATAAATGTTCCTCCGGGAGTAGTTTTACTGCACCGTACTTTTGACTTTTACATGAGTAAACCATTTTGGTGCTGTAAGTGCATGTCAGTTTGATAAATAGTTGAACCAGGAGGGTTGAATACAAATGTACAGGGTACTTTCCAGATTTTAGTTGTAAGGTAATATGATACTAAAAACTGTGTATAATTTGTCCTGAGAGCTGGCAAATATGCACCACTTTCCTCTGCTCTGTCACATAAAATCTCATTACATACATTCAAATTTGCAGTTTTAACTTGACAAAATATTGAAAGGTTCACAAGATATAAAAGCCTATGCAAGGTATTCAATTCAATTTGAATGCAGTTTATTTAGATAGAATCTGTATTCTTAAGTCTTTTATGTTGGTTTATGTCAACAATGTTCTTGCTCTGCAAATGATAAAAAAGTCCAACATCTATTTTTTATCTTTTACCCTAAAAGCATCCAGAGATTCATATTTAAACCAAAACTAAACTGCTTCTGCTTCCAGTTATAAACCATGTTCTAATAAACATACTGCATTTCAGATTAGATTCAGTCTTTTTCTGATTTGTAAATGTAATTCGCCTTTTTAACCATCTCATTCAGTTAAGTTCAGTTGATCTGTAATAAAAAAAATCTGTCTTTAATTAAAAAAAGACTATTTCTTAATTATATGTATATTTCCTCTGTGAAGAAGGAGTCAAGCTGTTTTTGAACAATGCTACCAAGCTTGCTGCATCTCTCCCATGTGGTTATGGTCTGTCATCCCCAGCAACAGTCTCCAAGTGTTTTTAGCTGAAAGGTTTACTTGCTAGATAAGAACAGAACCATACAACTGCAGCACTAAAGAAAGCTTCCAAGGGAATAGTTTCAACTTTATGCAGGAGATCTGCCTTAGACCAGACCTACGGCTAATCCAGAATCAAACAGCAGAGAGAGGCGGGAAAAAAAGAGAGGGGGGTGGAATACCTTATCTATGCCTCCATTTTCTCTACCTGCTTAAACCTGATCGAGGACTTAGATGGGGGGGAGAGGAAGTAGATTGCCATTTCCATCAGAGGACTAACAAAGAGAAACTGATGAAAAGCTACATTTCTTGGTGCCAAAATAAGACCTTATTAATTATTGTGACAGTAAAGAAGTTGGTGATAGTGTTAAATAACTAAACTAATAAATGGAATAATAATAAATGTAAAAATAGATCACAAAAATTCCTCTCAAGCCACATTCCTAATGCATTTTTTTAATCACTTTTGGGGGGGTTATTTATGCCATTTCCAGCCAGAAGAATAAAAGTTCCCTGAAAGGCAAATTGACATGGGCATGAATAATGTATGGTTGCTTCTATAAAAGAAAGAAACTTAGCCTTCAAATAAGCATAAATAATTGAATAAAAAATTAGCAGCTTTTTTTTATTATCCAGCACCAACCTGACATATTAGAAATAATGTTGATTTAAACATATTTACCCTATTTTTTGTTAATGGTTTGGCCCTAAGCATCAGACCTCTCTGCTGCTGCTAATATTTGTTTACTGGTCACGTCAGGAGCTGAGTTTTTAGCTGCTGAGCAAACATTTCAGCTCCTGTTGTCTAGGCCTCCTGCACCAATCCAGCATTAATAACACGACCAGTTTATATGATGAACAGATTCTTAATTATCATATTTTTCCAAGTTTTAATGGTTTTTGATAGTGCAATTAAGTAAGATGTCTTCCTAATGATGGCTAAATGGTTCTCGTCATACACTCACCATGTGCTGTCCATAATGCAGTTTTGGAACTCAATTATCCCTAATGAATCTCAGAGTAAAATAAGCACCCTTGAGATAGGATCTTGAAGAGTTTAGTTGACTTGCAACAACTCATATTTTCACAAAATCTGTATTATATGCTACAAAGCTGTAGAATACTTTGCTCGTTGAGAACAATGCACTTAACTGATAAACAATGTCATGTCTCAGTATTGTCAGGCCAAATCTTTTGAAAGCATAAGGCTCATAACCAACCTCGACTTTACTATAAATATTATATTTAGTAACTAAGTAAAAATGTATTTCAAAGTGCTTTACATCATAAAAAACATTGGGAAAAGGTGCACTAAGATCATTAAAAACATCAAATACTCACCAAATTGTCAAAACATCAGAATCATTGCACTAAATGATAATAGAAATGATCCACCAGATGCAGACAATAATCATGGGGAGATGGTCAATGTGTAATTTGTTCAGAGCAGCTTTTTTTTTTTTGGGATTTGTTTGTGGACTTTTAATCAAAGGTTAAGCTCTAAGCAGATGGGTCTTCAGCTTTCATTGAAAGGAATTTAGTTTATGCAGTTTTGCAGTTTTCTGGGAGTTAGTTTCAGATTAAAGGTGCATAAAGTCTGAAAGCTGCTTCACTGTTTATGGTTCTAGATCTAGGGATACAAAATAGACTGCAATTAGAAGACCTGAGTGTTCTGGAAGGTGGTTTCAATGATAGTAACTTTTTATTGCACATAATCATTCAGGGTTTTTTTAAACTAATAGAAGTGTTTTAGCCAGTATAAGGACTTAAAGTGAGACGATGTGCTTTATTTTTCTCATCTTTGTGAGAAAACGAGCAACAGCATATCAACCTGGAGAGACTCAAATGAAGAAAATCTGCAATTAAAAAAAAAGTTTTACAGTGTTTTCTAAAAATAAAAAAAAAAATTCAAATAATATAAAAGGAACTTTATCAAAATGAACAATTAAAAAAACGTCCAGCTTTACATGAACAGGAAGCTGATGGAAAAGCAATATCAAAGTGAAGCCATTTAGCATTAAGCACATAAAGGGTGCAGGCCACAGAAACAGAAAGATAATGGCCGAGATTTTGTTCACAAGTTAGGAATTTGAGTTTGGCTTCATGAGTTCACATATGAATGTATAATTTCAAACAAAATCTAATAAAAGCTGAACAAACAATATGTTCAGATATCTTCATTTGCACCGAAAAACCTTTTCTTTTAATACTGGTAGGCATAATAAATAAAGCTTATTTTGTATCACAGTAGAATAGATGGGTACTCTATTAATCCTTGAGATCAGGAGGATGGATGTGTATATGTCAGCCTGTATGTATAATTCTGACTTTGTGCTGTTTGGGGGAAAATGCAAATTTGTGCTCAATATTGTCGTTTAAATAAACTTGTTTGTTGAAGGCAAAATAGTTGTATTACCCAATTGTCTTAGATTGCAAACTATTTATGGTATATTATACAAAACTAAACCGAGTTTAGTTTTTTCTGAGTTTAGAAAAGTCCCATCCACATGCGGATTTGTAATATATTAATGTAATATATTCTATTTATCATGATTATCTAAAGTAGTGAAACTGCTGATTGTCATTTCCCAAGATTATCAATAAAAATGCCTTTATTATACCAGTATGGTGGTGAAGCAAATACATTTAGTCACAATAATACAGATGAAATGTTTGCCCTCTGGAATTTTCTGTTAAATTTTGCAGACCTTGTGGAATAGTCACTCCAATAATCTCCCAAATGATTCACTGCCACGCTGCTGGGCTGCTGTCCAAAAATGACCTGTTTGGCTCAAGTTAAACATTGGCTGAGTTCATGACTGGCATCACTTTCCCAGTTTCCTGCAGGAGACCACATTGAAAAAAAATGCAACTGGAAGAGACCCAAGAAACATAAATAAAGGCCACCCTCCACTTCCAGGTGAAAAATCATGAGCTCTGTTTATAGTAGGGATATTGTGACCTTAAACCCCTTATAATGAATTCAATTGAAACGCTGATTCTTCCTCTTGATAGTGGAAGGAATAATAATTTTGCAGTGTCTGTTCTTAGATAAGTCTATTTTAGTCAAAATATTATTGTAGTGTAAAGCTTTAGTAACATACATTTTTTTCCCCTTAATATCAAAAGAAAGGAAGCAGAGCTTTTAGGATAAAACTCAGGCAAAGCAAGGAAATCTTGTATCTTGCAAGAATACACATATTTCCAGCTTTAAAATAAACCTGAACCACAACAATAAATGAGTATGAATAAAAAAGGACTTTCTTCACCTTCTCTTCATGTCATCAGATAGTAGTTCTCCTCATTTGTATAAACGCAAATGATAAGAAGGATTTAATTTAGCGTCTTTGTTCGTTCAGTAAAGATTTCTGCAAACAAGGCTGAAATAATTGCACAATTTGTTCTTGTGAGTTGCTTTCAGATACAAGAAAGATGACATTACTTGCTTCATCCATCTGCAAAAGCATTAACATTCAGTCATTCAGAGATTAGCCACCCCTGAATTAATGTTCCTCACGACTTCATTTAGACATGCTCCTGAAACTGATGGTGAGAGCGGCGGTGTGTGTACGATATTTGTCATCTCTTCATAATTGGAGTGTAAATCAACATGACACCTATGTGTTTAGCTGATGTCAAAATAACGGAAAGGTTTGCTTTTTTTTTTGCTAAAAAAGCTTCACTGTTGGCAACTTTAAAATGCAAATGGTCTCTAAAACATTAGACTCAGTTATAGAGCATTTATTTTCGTTAACTAAGCAATAACTGAGAACAATTTAAATCATGCATTAAATCATCAGCCTCTTTTATAAAAGAGGAACAATTTTAGAAAAGGGAGATTTTAATTAAAATAGGTTTCTACATTGTCTCCAAATCTAGGGAAAAGTACAAAATCTAATTTTAGTTTCATATTTAACTCTATTTCCGGATAAATTAGGTGCTTTTTAGGTTAAATTATCTTTTAAAAGTATCCTTTAGTATAAATTTGACAAAATCACTAATGTTTTATCCACACTGATCTTTTTGATG